TTGGCTGTCTTTGAACTAGGTCTGTAGACCAGACTGGCCTTGAACTCAGAGGTTCACCTGCCTCTGCCTCCCAAGTTCTGGGATTAAAGGTGTGCACCACCACCACTACCACCCAGCAGGTCTCTCTAGTATGTAGCTCTAGCTGGCCTGGAACTCACTCACGCTCCACCTGCCTCTCTGACTCCCGAGTGCTAAGATTAAAGGTGTGCATCACCACCTCCCCAGGCCCAGACCTCCTTATTAATTTATATGTGTGTGTCTCTCTGTGTGTGCATATGCACAGGTTTACACAGAGGATGCCCGACAAACTGCAGCAGTCAGTTCTCTCCTCTGTCGTGTGCATCCCAAGGGATCTAATCCAGATCGTCAGGCTTGCCAGCAAGCCTTTTCCACCCGCTGAGCCATCTCAGCAGCCCAAACCTTGACAGGTGAACAATACTCCTCCTATATGTATGTATCCTATCATTTGATATTTTATTTGTGTCAATTGTAAGGAGTTTTTAGGTTGGCTCCTCTCACATTATTTGTTTATTTATCTATAGTTATTTATTGGGACAGGGTCTCTCTATGTAGCCCTGGCTGTCCTATGTAGACCAGGCTGACCTCAAACTCAGAGATCTGACTGCGTCTGCCTCCTGAGATTAATAAAGATGTACACACTACCACCCCACAACACCCCCACCCTGGCAAACATTACTTTTTGAGACTAAGTCTGACTGTGTAGTCCAAATAGCCTTCATCTGGAGTTGCCTGAGTGCTGGGATTACAGGTATGCACTGCCAAATCCAGCAATTTCCTTACTTTCTGGTAACTTAAGATGACCCAGGCCGGCCTTGTACTTCCCCTGCTCCACTACCATTATCAATCATTTTTCCAAATGTTCTTTTTTATTGAGAATGGTGGTAGAAATCCAGCTCTGAGTGCTAGGTGTTCTCAATGCTATGAAGTGTTCTAGAACTTCTCAGTGGTCGTCTGGCCATATATATAAAATCTATTATAACAAGTCAGCTGACCACATCATCTGTTATAACAAGTCAACTGACCATATCATCTATTTATTATAACAAGTCAGCTGGCCATATCATCTATTTATTATAACAAGTCAGCTGGCCATATCATCTATTTATTATAACAAGTCAGCTGGCCATATCATCTATCTATTACACATAAACTGAAGGCAAACATCACTCTCTCCGAACCACTTTAAAATTGAAGTTGTTGACTTCTGTTTAAAGTATTCTCAAGACAGTGGCCCTAGCCTTGCAATAAACATTCCAGTGTCCAGAGATGGAAGCAATGGTTTGGAGTGAGTTGAGAAGTCAACGCTGGGGAATGTACAGGACACATCCCACTTTGTTTGCATGACAGGTGCTAATTGTCACCTTTCAGCTTTCAGGAAAAGCCTCATGAGAGCCAGGCATGTGCCTTTAATCCCAGTACTTGGAAGGCTGAGGCAGGCAGACCTCTGTGAGTTCCAGACCAGTCTGGTCTACAAAATGAATTCCAGGATAGGCTCCAAAGTTACAGAGAAACCCTGTCTCGAAAAACAAAACAAAACAACAACAACAAAAAGCCTCATGGGACTGGGAGCCAAGATGCTCAGCTCAAGAGCCCCCAGATCTGCCTCTGGAGCTCACTCATAATGTTTGGTCTTCAAACCGCATCAGCAGCAGTGCGAAGCCTAATGCCTCCCCCCATGGGGTTTTAGGAGTTAGCGACCTCATAGCAAATCTGTATTTTGTTTCTTTTGCTGGGTAACAAATTACCACCTCTTTAGCAGCTGAATTCAGACAACATCCATTTATTAGTTCACAGTTCAGGAGCACACAGTCAGCATAGCTGGCCTGGGTTCTTTGCTGAAAATCTGGCCTGTGCTGAAAGTGTGGTGTTGGCTACCCTGTGCTGCTGTCTCTTCCCAGCCCCTTTCCAGGCTCATCATCCTTATGGTCAAAAGCCTGGGGTTCCCACTTCCTCTCCAGTTGCCAGGCAGAGGAGAGGAATCTGAGGCTGTGCTCAGGGCAGCACAACCCCGCACCCCAACATCAAATCTCTGCTTTCAAAGGTCACTATCAAACAACCTTGTTCTCACCTGGACAAGTGTGTGTGTGTGTGTGTGTGTGTGTGTGTGTGTGTGTGTGTGTGTGTGTGTCTGTCTGTCTGTCTGTCTGTGGGTGTGTGTGTACATGTTCTCATGGGTATGCTATGCATGGGTGTCCATACACATGTGTTCTTTTGTTGTTTTCTTTGAGACAAAGTCTTACTATATAACATCTCTGGCTCTGCAGACCAGGCTGGCCTTAAACTCACAGAGATCTACCTGCCTCTGAGTACTGGGATAAAAGGCTTGTGCCACCAAGCCTGGTGCATGCTTGTTCTTGTGCATGTGACAATCAGAAGTCAACATCAGGTGTCTTATTAGACACTCTCTACTATCTATCTATCTGTCTGTCTATCTATCTATCTATCTATCTATCTATCTATCTATCTATCTATCTATTTATTTTGAGGCAGGGTTTCTCTGCGTAGCCCTGGTTGTCCTGGAACTTGCTCTGTAGACCAGGCTGGCCTAGAACTCACAGAGACTCACCTGCCCCTGCCTCCTGAGTGCTGGGATTAAAGGCATGCCCCACCAACGCCCAGCTTCCACCATTTTTTTTAGAAAGGGTCTCCTTTCCCTGAAACTGGAGCTAATACATGGACTAGGTTGACTAGCCAATGAGTTCAAGAGATCTACCTGTCTCTGCCCTACAATAAAGTAGAGGGCTACAGAAGTAGGCTTTGAATTCTGGCTTTTAAATAGGGACTGGAGATCCAAACTCAGGTCCTACTTCTTGGGCAGCAGGTTCTTTGCCAACTGACCCATCTGCACGAACCCAGTAAACTACCTTTTTAAAATCCATCAATCTGGGCCTGGTGCTGCCTGTCTTAATCCCAGAAATCAGAAGGCAGAGAAAGGCACACCTCTATGATTTCAAGTAAAACCTGGTCAACATAGAGACTTCCAAGATAGCCATGGCAACACAAAGAGACCCTGCCTCAAAAAAAAAAAAACCAGACAAACCAAAAAATAAAAAATAAATAAAATATAAAGTCAGGAAATGGTTGTACATACCTTTAATCCCAGCACTTGGGAAACAGAGGCAGGCAGATCTCTGTGAGTTCAAGGCCAGCCTGGTCTAGAAAGCAAGTTTCAGGACAGCCAGGGCTACAGAGAGAAACTCTGTCTCAAAAAAAAAAAATAATAAAATAAAAAAACAAACTAAAAAAGTCCATTGAGCCATATAATAATAACATACTTAGAATTCTACCCCATCCTAGCCCAAGGCTCTAGCCACATTCATGGGCTAGAGAATGAGGTGGGTGGTGAGGGGTTATCTTTTGAAATCTCTAAGGACAGGAGAAATGGCTGGGAAGCTTGGGGGCCGGTCCACTGCCCAGTCCACTGTCTCAGCACTGTGGAAGGCAAGAATGACTTGACTCTCAAAAGTTGCCCTGTTCTCCTCATGGACACTGCAGTTCTCCCCAAACTCCACAAACTACGTTAAACAAACAAACAAAACAAAACAAAAAGAAAATCCATGGACTAGAGAGATAGCTCAGTGCTATCTGCTGGGGGCTGGAGAAATGGCTCAGAGGTTAAGAACACTGGCTGTTCTTCCAGAGAACCCAGGTTCAGTTCCCAGCAACCACATGGTAGCTCACAACTGTCTGTAATTTCAGTTCCAGGGGATCTGACATCCTCACACAGACATGCATGCAGGCAAAACACCAATGTACATGAAATAAAAATAAATAAGTCATTTATAAATAAAAGACCATTTATTGCTTGCTTTCCCAGAGAACCAGAGTTAACCTCCTATAACTCCTGCTGTATGGGATCCTACACTTGTGGCCTCTGCAAGCACTTGCATTCATGTGTATACACACATAACTAAAAATAAAATAAACCTTTAAAAAAACTTTAAAGTACTTTCAATAAAAGAAACAAAATCTGTGTTTTTTTCCATGAAAACAAACAAGCAGAACACCCTACAGCATAGGTCTAGAGAGATGGCTCAGAGGTTAAGAGCACTGACTGATATTCCAGAGGATCTGAGTTCAATTCCCAGCACCCACATGGCAGCTCATAACTGTCTATAACTCCAGTTCCAGGGGCCCCAACACCATGGCAAAACACCAATGCACATAAAAATACAAATAAATAAATAAATCCTCATAAAGCACAAATAAACAAATAAGTAAATAAACAAATAAAACCCCATAATGCTGGCATTTACAGACCTCTGAAGACCAGGTCAGAAACCATCATGGTGGGAATCTCAGCAGATCCTTCCAGAGTTTGAAGAAATGGGGACCTTCATTGATACTGTTAAGCAGTTCATGCCTATGACTAGCCAGTTTACATTGAGCAGACTGAGTTTCATATATATATATATGTAAACACACATATATGTATACATACATATGATTTTCATATTTTAAAATATTTATGTTATGTGTATGTGTATTTTGGCTGCATGTGTGTCTATGCACCACTTGCATGCATGCATAGCCCGAGGAAGCCAGAATCCCTAGGAACTGGAATTACTATATAATTGAACCCAGGTTCTCTGGAAAAGCAGCCAGTGCTCTTAATGTCTGAGCCATCTCTCCACCCCCTTTCATGTACTATTTCTTCTACATGGATCTACTTGTATAGTTCTACTTACATTTGTTCATTTGTTTTTGTAGTGCTGGGGTTTGAACAAAGGACCTTACACATACTAGTCAAGTACTAAACCACTTAGCCATACCTCCAGCTCCTGGAATAGGAATTATTATGGGATTTTACTAAGTGCAGATTAAATTTATTATTTTGTTTTGTTTTTCCCAAGACAGGGTTCCTCTGTGTAGCCCTGACTGTCCTGGAACTCGCTCTGTAGACCAGGCTGGCTTCGAACTCAGATCCACCTGCCTCTGCCTCCCAAGTGCTGGGATTAAAGGAGTGTGTCACAATCACCTGGTTTAGGTTAAATTTATTAATTGAACTTTTTTCATATTACTACGAATATCAGGCATCTCAGGTTTCCACTGCTGTGATAAAGATCATGACCAAAAGCAACTTGGGGAAGAAAGGGTTTATTTCACTCCCAGCTCACAGTCCATCTTGAAGTCAGCAGTGGCTCGAGGCAGGAACCTGGAGGCAGGAACTGAAACAGAGACCACGAGGGAATGAATGCTGCTTTCTCGTTTGCTCAGACGGCCTCCGTATACGCCCCAGGACCACCTGACGGCGGGTGGCATTGCCCACGGCTGGCTGGGCCCTTGCACTTCAATTATCAATCAAGTAAATGCCACACAGACTTGCCTACAAGCAGCCTAAGGAGGCATTTTCTCAGAAGAGGTTCCCTCTTCCCAGATGATTCTAGCTTGTTAAGCTTACAAAAAAGCTAAGTCGCACAGTCAGGATTTACCATCCTGCAAACCTTATGTACATTCACGGATTATACATTCACGGGCTGAGTCACCCACACATATGTCAGAAAAAGATGTGTACAAAACACACACGAGGGGCTGGGGAGATAACTCAGAGGTTAAGAGCACTGACTGCTCTTCCAGAGGTCCTGAGTTCAATTCCCAGCAACCACATGGTGACTCACAACCATCTATAATGAGATCTGGTTCCCTCTTCTGGGGTGCAGACAGGAACAATGTATACACAATACATAAATAAATAAATAAATAAATAAATAAATAAATAATAAAACACACACACACAGGAGCCTGGCAGTGGCACACACCTTTAGTCCCAGCATGCAGGAAGCAGAGGCAGGTGGATTTCTGTGAGTTTCAGGCCATTTGAGTCTACAGATGGAGTTCTAGGACAGTCAAGACTATACAGAGAAACCCTGTCTCAAACAAACAAACAAACAAACAAAAAACAAGAAAAAATAAACCCTGTCTCAAAAGACAAAACAAAACACACAGGAACTCTTGTTTCTTTTTTGTTTTGTTTCTTTTCAAGACAGGGTTTCTCTGTGGCTTTGGGGGGCTGTCCTGGAACTAGCTCTTGTAGATCAGGCTGGTCTTGAACTCACAGAGTGATCCGCCTGCCTCTGCCTCCCGAGTGCTGGGATTAAATGTGTGTGTGCCACCACTGCCCGGCTACACACAGGAACTCTTCTTCACTCATAACTTCCTTAATAATATGTCCTAATCCAGTGGTTCTCAACCCTTTAATATAGTTCCTCATGTCATGTGACCCCAACCATAATGTTATTTCCATTGCTACTCTATAACTGTAATTTTGCAACTGTTATGAATTGTAATGTAAATACTTGTAGAGAAAGAGGTTTGACAAAGGGATTGTGACCCACAGATTGAGAACCACTGGTCTGACCACTCTTTCCATAGTATTTACATTGTATTCCTTACCATAAGTCAATGTAGAGTCATCGAATAGAACTGCTGGCTAAGCACATCCTGGTGGTAGAGCATCTGCCTGGCATGTCTGAAGCCCAGGCCTTAATCCTCAGGACTGCAAATATGAAAACCAGGAGGGCTGGCAAGGTGGTTCAGTGGGTAAAGTCTTGTTGCCTGGCCTGATGACGTGAGTTCAAGCCACGTGACAGGCCACCTGCAGCTAACCAACTGGGCTACACCAGAGTTCTACTTCCTCCAAAGCACTGAGGTTGCAGGCTCTTGTCACCATGTCCCGTTTCTCATATGGGTTCTGGGGACCAAACTCCAGGCCTCACACTTGAACAGCAGGCGTTTTACAAGCAGAGCCATCTCCGTAGCCTCCCTCCTCTGCCTCCAGTGGACTCCTGTTTGTTTGGTTTTAGTTTTGTTTGAGACAGGGTCTCACAATATAGCCTAGGCTCGCCCGGAACTTGCTACCCAGATTGTTCTTGAGTTCACTGAGATGAGCCTCCTCTCCCCACCTAGTGCAAAGGTTACAGGTGTGGCCACCACACGTGGCTTCCAGGTGGATTTTTAACATAGCATTTTGGCTGGACTGACATTCCTCATGTCCCCTTTCTCAGGTGGGACATAGGAAAGGCGCATGTGCAGGGCTGGAGGGCAGAGGTGAAGCCACCGCTGTGTGTGGCTCTGCCCGGCGCCTCGGACTGGCTCATTTTGTTGATGGGGAGACACAGCCCTTCCACAGTTGCCCTCTTTCTCCCTGGACTCCCCGGGGCCCCCAGCCATGAGAGTGTGTGTAGCTTTCTGGGACGGAGTCCTGCTTTCCTAAGACACCCATACATCCAGCCAGGTCTTCAAGGGCCAACTTTGGGGTTCTGCCTACTCACCTAGGCTCTGGCCCCTTTCTGTGGGTTCCTGTGTATTCTTGCTATTTCCCTTTTTGAATCCCTCATCTCTTGTCTTCCTGTGGACTTAAAGCTCTCACATTAGGCTAACGAGTGACAGCCTTCCAGAAAGTACTTATGCAACCCCGACAATCATAGGAGTTCAAACACCTGGGACAAGCCTTTATTCTGTGGCCTCCTGATTCTGAACCCTGACTGAAGCAGTGCGGCTTCACGGGGTTAGAAGAATCCAGCACCGAGATGGAGCAGCAAGGCCTCTTAAGGGGCCGGCTCAGCTCCATCTGTCCCAGCTCCCTGTTGCTATCAGTGTCTGGAGGAGCGATCTTACCCAAGTAGGTGCCAACCACAAAAAAAGCTAGTTACCTGCTGAACCTTGTGCCAAACGAAACCAGCCAGAGATGGATATGGTAGCACGTATCTGTCTGTCTAGGTGGGGGAAACAGGAGGATGTAGAGTTCAAGGTTAATTCTGGCTGCACAGTGTGCTCAAGCCCAGCATGAACTACAGGAGACCTTCTCTTTTAAGCAAACTTTAAAAGTTTATAATCCTAGGTTATAATAAACTTTCTTTTTTGTTTGTTTGTTTTTTGTCTTTTTGAGACAGGGTTTCCCTGTGTTGTTTTGGAGGCTGTCCTGGAACTCGTTCTGTAGACCAGGCTGGCCTCGAACTCACAGAGATACCACCTGCCTCTGCCTCCTGAGTGCTGGGATTAAAGGCGTGTGCCACCAATGCCCGGCCAACTTTTTTTGTGTGTGTGAGATAGGGTTTCTCTATGTAACAGCTCTGGCTGACCTAGAACTTGCTCTGTAGACCAGGCTGTCCTCGAAAGCACACAGATTTGCCTGCCTCTGCCTTGGAGTGCTGGGATCAAAGGCTTGCTCTATACCACCCTAGGTTTAAAATAAAGTTTGATAAAAATCTATTAGATAAAGTTTATTAGACTAAAAAAACTTTATTTTAAGCTGGGCATTGGTGGCACACGCCTTTAATCCCAGCACTCGGGAGGCAGAGGCAGGTGGTATCTCTGTGAGTCTGAGACTAGCCTGGTCTACCGAGAGAGTTCTAGGACAGGCTCCAAAGCTACACAGAGAAAAAAACAAAACAAAAAACAAAACCAAACAACTTTTAGTCTAATATTAGATTAAATGCATTTAAAGAGCCTATAATCCTAGTTGTGTGTGGTGCATACATATGTAGCTCCAGTTAATTGATCTAAACATTTTTTCTCACTAAAATGTCAGATGTTCCCCTGCCAGCGGCCATGTCAGAGGAGCAGCAGGTGGCAACTGAAGTTTGAGTGTCAGTCAACCAGGAGGAAAATCCCTGATGGGTGAATCCCGGGTAGGCAGGGCCAGAGACCACAGACCCCGGAATGTCTTTTGCATCTGCTGTGCCTTACATGTTTGCCACTGCAGGCTTTCTCTAGTATCTGGCATGGTGTGCATGGGTGTGGGGAGACCCCACTGCCTGTGATGTAGTGTGTTTATCTGATGGAAACACCCCATTCTACTGGGCATTTTTACCTATGGATTATTATGAAGATCATTTCTTCCTAAGCTGGAATGTCTGATTGATAATAATGTTGGTTCAAATAGAGTTTTGACGATTTAAAATATAAACAAGTTACTGTCACACGGCTAGAACATGTGAGTTTCAACTGAGGAGCCATATAGACCGGCTTGGGTTAATGATTAAGAAAAACAACTGATTCCCAGTCACCCAGCTCGCTTAAATTCTTTTCATCTTAACGATGGGAGATGTGTTCACAGGTTTCAGAGTGCATTATAACTGAAGCAAGGCTTTGAAAATAACTTAACGTTAGACTAAGATGTTTTTGTAAAACAGCTTTAAGGGGAGAAACCCAGGAGGACCATCTAAAGTTTTAGAAAGGTGCACAGTTGAATGGGGATCTCATTAAGGTCAGGGAACAAGGACAAAGCAGCCCAATTATCAGTAGCTGACTTGCCTTTCTTGCTAGGATTAGTTGATGACCAAAGGTAATGATTAATTCTTTGCACCCATGTTTACACTCAGTCTCCTGATATAAAAAACTATTGATGAGTGGGTATGTACCCTAAAGATTTAAAGCAGAGTGGACTGTTTTTCACGCATGAAAGTTTAGGTTTGTGATTCCTTTAAGATTCTTTATAAGATTACATTTCAAGACAAGTAACAAAATGATTGGTCCTTTCTTTCTAACTGCAAAACACAGCCTGCCAGTAAAAGACCTGACAAGAACCTGTTTGTTAATCTATAATGCATGTGGATTCTTGGGAATAATTTGTTTTTTACCTGTAATATGTAAAAAGTTTAATCATGTTAGGGGATATGGAGAACATGCTGTTTTCTACTTGTATTCATTGTAAACATTCACTTGAAAAATAGAATGTAACCACAATGTAATTTTTGTATTGCCTGTAAGATTTTCCTGGGGTGCATAAGCTGTAAGGAGAAAATAGATTGTTAGAAGGAAAACATCAAGAGTGAGAGAGTAAGGAAGGATAAAGATAGAGTTAGAAGGAAAACACCAAGAGAGACAGAAGGGACATTTCTGGATAGAGATAAGAAAATAGAATATAGAGTACACAATCAGAATAAAAAAATAAAGGTCTGAAGGAACCATCAAGAGAGTGTGTGGGTGTCTTTCTCCATACCCCCTCAGATTAAAAAAAAAGTCACACTATGGCTGGCCATTCCCTTTGAGCCTTGCTGCTGGAGGCTGGCTTCTCAGGCAATGAAATTCCCCCATTACAGGGGTTTTGATAAGTGGGGCACCTAGAATTGGTGTGTCCTAGGAACAAAATGTGAGAGGACTTTATGGATGTGTGCTAGCCAGTCCACCCCACCGGTTTGGGGCTGTAGCTCCCCTAGAGTGGGTCTGGTGCTGAGAGTCCCATCTGAGCCGCTGCTTCCAGCCGGCCCACAGGCACACACTCCCAGCTGAGCCCAGCTGGCCACTAGGAGGCAATAAAGTCATGTCTAGGAAGGCAGTCTGTCTCTAAGGGTGCAAAACTAAACAAAAAACAACCACTGTGAAGAGGCTTAATCCCTGTAAAAGGGTGGGTGGGAGGGAGCTAAATTGCCTGAGGGGTCTCCAATATCAAGAGAACAGATTTCCCTTGGAGACTGTCAGCTGTGCTGGTGAGATCTTGTGGCTACCTGTGGTCCACCTTGGGCAACTGGGAGGGCACAGCAGGGTTGGCAGGGCTTCCCAGCTAGGGCAGGAGGCTGGAGATGACAGGCTTCATACCAGAGGATTTCAGCAGTTTCTTTTCTGATTACCAGTTACGATGCACATACGCTGTCTGGAGTCAGTTTCTTCCTGTGCAGTAGTAACTGGGATGAATCATCCTTCCATCTTCCTAGCAAAGGTGCAAACGGTAGTAATGACAGTGCAATCATTTGTCTAAAACTCATCATGCTCTAGAATGATGCTCTAGAATGTTTTAATACAGTTCATGTCGTGATGACCCCAACCATAAATTATTTTGTTGCTACTTCATAATTTTGCTACTGTTATGAATTGCAATGTAAATATGCAGCCCTGTGTGTGTGGGTGTCATGGCCCACAGGTTGAGAACCATTGATCTAGTGTCTAGACTATGCAAATACATTCCTTCATTTACACAATACTGCTGGGATAAGCAAAGCTGCTATCCTCATTTCATGAAGACACACATAGCTCTGGATCTGTGCTGGGAGGAATCCAGTACTTCCTGAAATATCTAACCATGATTACACGGGCCTGGGCATCGTGGACACAGGGTCTGCTGTTTCGGGCTGTGTGAGCCTGAGCAAGGCATGAACCCCTTCTGTGCACACAGAGACATCAAGCATTGTAGTATGTTCAGTGCATCTCTGCCTGTGGCTTGGGTTTGAACCCATTTCACTCCACAGCCTGGACCTCCTCCCCCCTCCCTGTGGGTAAGGCCTTGAGGCAGCAGGAGACCTAGTCTGGGACTAGGATTTCATGACAAGTTCATGTTTTCCCTGGAGGACCCACACACAGGCCTGCCGGCAAAGCTGCCCACTCCAGGCCTTCTTCCCTGTCCTGGTCAGCAGCCTCTGCCACCTACCATGACCTCCTGGTAGTCAGTCTTGTCCTGTTGTCTCCTTACCAAACCCTCTCAGCCTCCTCTGCAAGGCCTGCTGGAGCCCACTTCCCTCAGTCTGTCAGGAGCAGTACCACCTCCCCCGTTTCAAGAACTGCTTGCCATCTGTCCTGAGTGTCCCATGGGACTGAGCTGTTGCAGGTAACTGCTCGCCATGTCAGTTGGGATCTTCTGGAGTCAGCCGTGGATGTGTTGCTCCTCTTCACCTTTCCTTCATCAATAGATGCTCTGTACTCCATGTCAGAGGCTTCCACACACCAGCTCCCTCAGTCACAGACACACTGTGTAGCACTGGCTGTCCCGAAACTCACTCTGTAGATCAGACTACCCTCAAACTCAGAGTTGTGCCTGCCCCTTCCTCCTGAATGCTGAGATTAAAGGTGTGCTAGACATAAGATTTGATATAGGATTCTACTCCAAAACCCACCTTGTTAACCAACCTTCTGTCTCTCCTCATGTCTCTACCAGGTAACATCTCACACTTCTCCAAAGAACGCCTCATCCACACCAGGCTGGACTGTTCTGCTCTCTCTCGACCCTGAACCACACCAACGTTGCACAAATCTGTCTCAAGTCACCTGTTAGTTGTTGACCATGCTATTTGCCTCTGTCAAGAGAAAAGGATGGTCCCAGGACACAGGAAGAGAACATCATGCCTCAGTCCCTCTGAAACAAAACAGAAATTTCCTGGATTTTTATCATTTTGTTCTCTTCTCTTCAATGCTGGGGACAGAAAAAAAAAAGGATCACACAGGCTCAGCAGGTGCTCTATAACTGAGTTCTACCTCAACCATCCTGTTCACGGTTGATAATGAGTCTGTGTGGCTTCCTTGTCAGGCTCTGGGTCCCACTTGCCTCCTGGGACCATGCCCTTTCAGATAATAAAATCCAAGTACAACTGAGGGGCGAGAGCTCTCTGAAAAAGCCATTGCTGTGTAAGGCCTCGCCCTTAGGTGCGAAGCATCACACACCAAGGTTTGATTGATAGCTGTGTGACTTGCTGAGTCTCTTCAGCTCCCTGGGCCTCAGCTCACTCACATGGCTACCCAGAAGTTGCTGTTATGAATGTGAACAGTGTAGTGACTCTCATGCAAGCCCAACCCCCAGGGGAGGTTAAGTGCTCAGTGGGTACATAAGAGATGAGACAGCTGGCCAGATCGGTACATGGCTGACTCCGTTTTGAGTTTTCACAATTGATATTACTACTTTTTTTTTTAGATCATCGCACACTCAACATATAGGTAATGATGACCATGAATGTCTACCTCCCAAGTGGTGGGAATACAGTCACGGCTCACCATGTTTTCCATATTAGATGATGTTGGTGATTGAGTCCAGGGCTTTACGGATGTTAGACAAGCACTCTACCCAGTGAGCTACACCCCCAGGAAGTTAGTACTCTTAAACAATTATCACCACCAACCTTAAGGAGTGGTTCTGAGCCCATCTCTCAGCAAACTTCACTTTGAGTCTAAGTGCAACCCTACGGTGCAAGACATGGGTCTTGGAAAGCCCACTTCAGGAGCCCTGAATGAACACATCGTTTGGTCAACTTCTTGTCATCGTTGTCTTCTTCTTTATTCTTCCAGACTGAACTGAACTTAGGCAGGGACTCTGTTACCGAGCTGTTATCCTAGCCTCCAATCTGCCTTGTGAGCCTTTTTCTGGTTTGGTAGCACTTTAGAGCATCAGCTGTGCAGTCATTGATCTGCAGAACATTGTCATATGCAGGGTGAGAGAGACACTAGTAATGATCCAGCTTTTAAGATCTTAAAGCCATGTGGCTGGCACTGAAGCCACCTAAAAGAGCACTGGGCTTGGGGGTCAAAATAACCTGGGTTATGAGAGAATGGAGAAAATGTCTGCATCCATACACAGAAATGCTTACATTTACACAAAGCAATGAAGTACCAAGTCATGCTACAATGTGAATGAACTCGAAAAACTTGCTAAGTGACAGAAGTCACACGTTGTATATATCTCATTTATTGACATGTCCAGAATAGGCAGATCCATAGAGAATGATTTAGCAGTTGCCTTGGACTATAGAAAATGGAGAGAACTGTAGTGTTATATTAGTCAGATCTGAGGCAGTCAAGTGACAAAGAGAAAAGGTTAGTTTATAGTTTGGAGGCTCAAATTCAAGATCAGGGGTGAATTGCTTATGGTCTCTGTGGTGATTTGAATGAGAATGGCCTGCATAAGCTCAGATATTTGAATACTTGGTCTCCTGGTCTCCAGTTGATGGAACTGTTTGGGAAGAATTAGGAGGTGTGGTGTTGGAGAAGGGATCTCACTGGGGGATAGGCTTTTTTTTTTCTCGAGACAGGGTTTCTCTGTGGCTTTGGAGGCTGTCCTGGAACTCACTCTGTAGACCAGGCTGGTCTCGAACTCACAGAGATCTGCCTGTCTCTGCCTCCCGAGTGCTGGGGGCAGGCTTTGAAGTTTCAAAAGACTTGTGAGTTTCCTAGTCTCTGTCTGCCTCGTGGCTGTGGGTCAAGATGTGAACTCAAAGCTGTGTCTCTGTTCCACCATCATGGACTCTAACCCTCTCAAACCAAATCAAATGCCTTCTTTTATAAGTTGCCTCAATCATGGTGTTTTATCTCAGGGACAGAGAAATAACTAAGACAGCCTCTGAGGATATAGTGAGGAACAATGGAGAAGAAACGCATTGGGCCAAGTTGGAATGTCGTAAGTCAGCAAGCAGAGAGCGGCGGGGGACAGGCAGACAGATATGTGGGGTCTCACAATCCAATCCCACACCCCAAATGACCTCTCACCTACTAAAGCCCACAGCGCTGTCCACAACCACCACTGTAGAGACCAAATTTCACGTATGGATTTTTGGGGGATACTGTTTATCCAAACCATCGTAGGGAAGGATGGCCAGTGGGGAGGGAGCTTCTTTTTGAGGAGATAAAGTGTTCTGGCTTAGATGCTAGCTGCATACCTGTGACTATGTGGAGGTCTGAAAGAAAATGGCCCTCAAAGGGAGTGGTACTGTTAGGAGGCGTGGCCTTGTTAGTGTAGGTGTGGTCTTGGTGGAGGAAGTGTGTCACTATGGAGGAGGGCTTTGAGGTTTCATATGTGCTCAAGCCATGCCAATGAGACGGTTCACTTCCTATTGCCTTTGGAGGTTCACTTCCTGTTGCCTTTGGAGGTTCACTTCCTGTTGCCTTTGGAGGTTCACTTCCTGTTGCCTTTGGAGGTTCACTTCCTGCTACCTTTGGAGGTTCACTTCCTGTTGCCTTTGGAGGTTCACTTCCTGCTGCCTTTGGAGGTTCACTTCCTGTTGCCTTTGGATCAGCATGTAGGGTTTTCCAGCACCATGTCTGCCTGCATGCCACCATACTCACAGCCACCTTGCTCCTAGCCATGATGACAATGGACTACATCTCTGAAACTGTGAGCCACCACCTCAATTAAATGTCTTCTTTACAAGAGTTGCCATGGTCTTGGTCTCTCCTCACAGCAATAGAGACCCTGACTAAGATTTTGATAAAGCCATTGAACTCTGAACTTTAACATGGTGAATATACCATGTTGAGCGGGTTGTAAGCCAATTAGCAAAAAGGCAAGAGGACAAAAATGGCAGTGCTGCTTCTAGCTGTGTGACACTGGGCAAGTATCCTTCACTTCTCATCTAAAATGCACTCTTTTATCATTTTTCTGATGTAAGGTCTCACTGTGTCGCCCAGGCTGCTCTCAAACTCCTGGGTTCAAGGATCCCCCTGCCTCAGCTTCTAGAGAAATTGGGATGGCAGACGTGTACCACTGCGCCCAGCCGTCAGGTGAGTTTTAAACCTTCTGGCACCTCCTTCCTGTCCTCTGGAGGATGGAGATAAAAGCCACCTCTCCACCTGACAGGCTGCAAGACGTGGACAAAACCCAGTGTGACAATGCCAAGGGCACATAGATGCCTCTGACGAAGGCTCCTGGTCACCCTCGTGCCCCTTCCGTCTTCCCATCTGCTCCCTTGCTCCTTCAGCTGCCCAGGATCAGCCCCTTCGTCCACCACAGGAGATGGCTAAAGGGACCAATACACACAGTTACAGAGATCATGCTACAAATCCTCCAGGGATCACAAGAATAGGCCAAGGGATACCCCCAGGGTCCTACTAGGGTGGCAGAGTGACTACATGGAACCTTTGTGGGGGTGATCCATCAGTCAGGTCTCCATCCCCATAAGAAGCACCAGAGACACTCAACGCATGAAGAGAAAGGGTCATTTTGGCTCATAGTCCAAAAGCCACAGCTTTGGGCTTCCGGTGAGATAGATCATAGCACAACCAGAGGTATAATAAAACGGCTCCCCTTACGATCAGCACATGAGAGAAAAAGAGGACAAGACCAGGATCCAAAAATCCCCAGTGACTCAAAGATGTCCCATTGGCCCCACCTCTTAAAGGTCCCATCACTTCCCCAAGGCTGGGGACCAGGGCTCTGGCACAAAGGCATCAGATGGATACTCTAGATCTAAACCATACCAGTGTGAGCAGGCCCCTACCAGCTCAAAACTCAGTGTCCAGTGTCCGAATCCACCAGAGGAGGGGATCCCACCCCAGCAGCCCTGGCCTCCTGTCCAGTTCCTCACCAAGTAACTTCCCTGTGCTGGTTAGTTTTTGTCAGTTTGCCACAAACTAAAGTCACCTGAGAAGAGGGAGCCTCCTTTGAGGAATTGCCTGCGTATTGGTCTGGGAAGTCTGTGGAACATTTTCTCCCAGCACCGTGTGGGCGGTTCCATTCCTAAAGCTGTGTAAAACAGGAAGCTGAGCAAGCTGTGAAAAGTAAGACAGTCAACAGTGTTGCTCCATGGCCTCTGCCTCAGTTCCTGTCTCCGGGTTCCTGCCTGGACTTCCTGCCCTGAACCGCATCAGTGATGGAGTGTGACCTGGGAGCTGTAAGATGAAATAATTTTTTCTCCAAGTTGTTTTGTTTTATCACAGCAACAGAAAAGCAAACCAGGATGTCCCCCAACCTGGCTGACCCCTGCTTGGTCCCACTTGTTTACCTGCTGGGGTACCAAGCAGATGCTGTTCTCTGAAGACACTGTTGTCCCTGAGCTGGGGGTGAAATGCCACCAAGGAGTGAGGCTGTTATTCTTTTTGGGGATTGTGTCAGGTGCGATTTTTTTGTTTGTTTGTATTTCAAGACAGGGTTTCTCTGTCTAGCCCTGGCTGTTCTGGAACTTGCTCTGTAGACCAGGCTGACTTCAAATTCAGAGATTCACCTGCTTCTGCCTCCTGAGTGCTGGGATTAAAGGTGAGCACCATCACTGCCCAGCTACTGAATTTTTGCCATGGATTTTCATCCATATGCTATGTCATTTTCCAGCTGCATTTCTGAGAGCATATCTGTATATAGATGTACAAATATGCACAGACACACACCCCACACACACATTCTCACACCCCAAAAAGAACAACAAAAAGAACTGTAGAGGCTATGAATGTAGCTCATTTGGTAGAGGACTTACCTAGTATGCACAAGGCTCTGAGTTCCATATTCAGCACTGTGTAAAACCAGGTGTGATGGTGCATGCCTGTAATCCCAACACTCAAGAAGTGAAGGCAGGGAGATTAATTCAAGGTCATCATCTTCTTCATATTGAGTTTGAGAACAGCTGGGGACTTCAGAACTGGCATAACAGGTTCTAATCCACATCTGATGACCCCAGTGGTCTTGTGCAAGCTTCTGTTTTTGCTAACACTCACAGAGCTACAACTCCAGCCACTGTATGAACATTTTTGTCTCTCTGAGTTATATGAGTAGGGAGAATAACAGAGCCTCCACCTTGGGTTTAGGGCCATTTGGCTGGGGCTAGCAGAAGGATGAAGTGTGTGGGAGGGTGGCATGGGGTGGGGTGTGGTGCCACACTTAGAAGAAGACACTCACTCAG